TAACTGAGTACAAATCATCACAATTATAATGTAGTTAAATAGTACAAAGCTGTAATAAGGTTAAAAGTTTAATAAAAAAAAAAGAATATTTGGATTTTTATTTACCATTCAAGATTTAGAACCATGAAATTACATTTTTCAGCGTATTTCTATTTTGATAGTTGTATTGATTAGTACAAATACAAATAAAAGAAGACGACGATTTGTATTCAATTCTTGAATTCAAATAAAAGCATAAATCATAAGAATGTTCCATATTTGATACATACACTGCTAATTTGCTTTTACTAATTGGATTTGACATATTAATATAAACTCTTGAAAGTCCCATGGAGAGAGAAAAAAAAGGCGGAGGATACATTATTTTACTACAGAATACATTCAGACAGTTGAGAATATACGTACCCAGACAGAGTTAAGACTGTTTACAATGTGCCCAGACAATATCAGACTGAGTAAAGACTGTTAAAAATGTTAAGAATGTGTTGAGAAAAATTCAAACAGTGTTAAGACTGTTGAGGAATACAAATGATAATCAAAGCGATTTATAAAGATGCTGTTTTTAAAACATACCTCTTTATTCATCCAAGGCAAAGTCATTTCTTCAGATCGATGCGCAATCTTATGCTGAAAGCAGAAGCACTCCTTTTCACGTGTCAATTTCTCATATTCAAATGTGTCTTTATAATAATAGCCATTACTGCATTTGAAATGACATTTAAAAGATATTTTCATCTTATACCTTTCTTTTATATCTTCAATTAGTTGTTTTACTTTACAATATATATGGCTACACGTGTTTCCAAATCCCTCTTGTAGATTGGAAAACGACACAACCTGAAGAGCAATTGTATCAGTCGACATGGTAACCAGAATCTTTTTACAACCAGATCCATCAATGTCAAACAAGCAGGTGCCACGGTATAAAGCAATACCATCATCTAATTTGCTAGGGTCGTATTTTCTGATAAACCAGGCAGATAGATGGTTAAAGAAAGAAGGTGGAAGAAATTTAAATTTAAAACAAAGCCAAGAAGTCCTTTTACAGTGTTCTGTTAGAATGCCAAATTTTTCACATACAACGTCAAACGTGGAAGGTGGCATTTGGCTTGGCATTATGTAATAACTTGAGTTCTCAATTTTGACCAATATGTCAAGTTTTCCCATAACTTCAAGTAAATTATTTTTCTGTCCTGAAAACTGACTTCCATCTTCTGATTCAAAGAGTTCTGTTATTAGCAATTCACTTATTTTACCTTGTCCTGTAAACAGTTTCCAGTCATCAAGGTGGTGCAATTGACTATCAAATCTATCAGAGACCAAACATCGGAAAGCATCTGCTAACCATTGAAGATTTAAAATGATCAAATCCCGTACATTTTCAAAGAAAATAATGTTCCCTACGTTATGCTGAAATCGAAGAAACAGCAATAGTTCATCTTCTTCCAGTATATTGATATCAGGATGTTTAGACAGTTTGAACATGTCATTTAAAGTAATAAATTTTTTTCCATCGTTTTTATTGATTTGGATCAAATGTTCTAAAAGAATCCATTTTAACGGAAAAGCATTACACCAATTATCCATTTTCTTTGCAGTCTCGTAAATTGTGTATCGCAACTTTTTAAATTCTTCATCATTATCTGCCTTATTTGACAAATAAAGCGTATCGTGCAAGTGATATTTGCTTTGGCACCCAAGAACTTGGTGTATTTGATCAGTAAGAATCTTTACTCTCTTCTTAAAATCTGCCTATAATAAATATACAAAGGAATCAATAATTATCATGTTTGATACTTTAACGATAATTATTGATTAAGATTAAGATTTCAATAGATGATGAACCTACAAGATATATTATCTGAATTCAAACGTATCACTGACTCTCATGAAAATTATAAAGAAGATTTATTGGCCTTCTATACCTTACTATACGGTATGGGTTTTTGTCGTTGGCGAAGGTCGTATTGTAACCTCTTTTTTTTACATTATTTGTTTCTCTGTCTTTAAAGATAGTTAATTTAGTGGCAATCATACCACGTCTCCTTATTAAAACCACAAAGTGGGGGATTCGTTTGACTGAGCAGGATGTATTAATTCGCGTCCAGTCAGAATAGGAACGTTCAGTTCGATGCATCGTGTAGATAGAGTGCTGCACATTAAGAGCCCTTGCAACAACTCTGAATTTCTGTTCTTATCTTCATAACCTCATTTTCTATTGGCTTCTCAAATTTTTCGACCACCATATCGGTCGATCCCTATCGAAGGACCTACCTTTTATTTTTAAGTGTTATGTGTTCTCGTTAACATTGCAAGTTTCCGATAACTCGGCAGTGGAAATTTTTTAACCCCAAAGGGAACAAAACTTAGATGCTTGACGCAATCCTCGGGGAAGTTTTTTTGTGTAAAATATTGTTATCTGCATTATACCTCAGACGACAAAACAACGACACATAAAATATATTTTATGGTAAACTCTTCAAGGGGTCCGTATGTGGTCTGTAGCGAGGTAAAATGTATGTCCCTGTCCAACATCCCCGCGCTCAATTCTTTTCGTCTTTTATAGAACATATATACTTTATTAATAGTTTTTTGTGATTATGCATTAAATAATTATCAATGATGTTAAGCAGGCAACAATTAATCAATTTATTCAACGGAGTTTTGTTTGCTCGTAAGTTGTGTTGTTAAGCTATTGACCAAGTGTTTTGTTAATTTTTAGAGCAACTCTTAAGCACGTTTAGGATTGCACATTATGAATGTGCCTGTTCAAAAGAATTCCATTGGTGTTTTTGGTGTTGTCATATTTATCCTTTCCAGTGATAACTAATACAATCGGAGAATCGATGTGCCATTAACTAGTTCGTTCGTCGGCCGTTCAATGGCAATGTATACAATGTTCAGCTATTGTCCAAGTGTTTTTTTTAATCTTTAGCGCTCTTAAAGACGTTTAGGATCGCACATTATAAATGAGTCTGCTCAAAAGAATTTCAGGTGTTGCCGGTGATGCTGTCCGTGATTCATCCGTTATTGGGTTTTGCTATTTTTTAAGGTGACTATGTTCTTTGATCTTCTATGAATTAATGTCTTATTGGCAAATATTTATTTAGTGACGTTCCGATGAAGAAAGGATGATAATAAGTCAAGTTTTGTACAAAACTCAGATAGATGTGGGGAACAACGTTCTACAATTGTATACCTGGTTATATTTATCTTTTCCTGTGAAAACTAATATAATCGGAGGATCGATGTGGCCATCACTAGTTCGTTCGTCGGCCGTTCGATGGCAATGAATAGAATCAAACCAAAAATTAACTGAAACATATCAACATTGTTAAATAAATACTGTTTCGACAAAATAGGACAATTTAGATATATGTACCCTAACAGGGTAACATAATAAAACTATGATTTATTTCTAACATACCTTGCAACCTTGCAACTATATATAATATTAAATGAATGAAATTGCTGATTTTGTATAAGAAAATATGTATCTTGTAGTTTTTTATGCACATGTAGCTATCTCCATTTTCGTGAAAAATTATGTTTTCGGATTTACCGTCGTTAATCTCTGGAATCAGAAATGGTTTTTTTAGGTTATCAATTACAAATAAAAATATGTTTTGACGTTATTTTACTGAGCTTTTGTTTGGTTATAAAAGATTGTTTAGAGCGGGAAAGGGTTTCACATTGCAGCCCATAGACTTGGCCTTATCTGTAACACATGCATAACTGTGCGATTATTCTATTGAACAGTAAATAAATATACCAGAACCAGAAGTAATATTGCCATCATATCTAACTTCAACAACTAATAAGGGACCTATCAAAGACGAATACATAATCGTAAACGAAACCATATTCGATATCAGGATATTGTTTAGAATACCTAATTTGCATTACCCTTTACTTTAAGTCACACATGAAGTGTCTAACACTAAGTTTTTGATTTTGCCGTTTGAAAATGGACTTACCGTTTTGAAATTTCCTTGGAGTTCGGTATTTTTGTTATTTTACTTTTTATTACTTATTGACATGATCGCCAAAAAAGGACATAATTGAGCTAACTTTTATGTAAGATATTGAAACACTTTAACACAATCCTCGTGTCTTCAAAAGGTTGAAATTAAAGAGACTATAATGACAGGCAATACAAATTACATGGAATATTCGATATATTTAGAAATGAGTAAAACGATGGAGGTGGGTAAACTAATTTTTATTGTGGTTATGTTTCTGTTCCATTGACGTATTGCCCACATTTCTTTGAATGCAGTGAATATCCCATTGGAATAACCTATCAATAGTCTTTCAGAAACACTATGCGCGTTTAAATCCTGAGAAAATTTCATATACCAATAAATTCGATTAAACACAAATTAAGATGGTTAAATATTGCTTGCGGTTTGTTGTCAACGACCATCTATCCCGCCTTAAAAACTAATATCGTAGTAATTGGTTATTGTCCTCTTTGCATTTTACCCGAACTTACCTAATCCAAACATGTAGGTGTGTGCCTTTTATTAGTAGATAAAGACAGAACTGAAGGCAAAATTATCCTTGTTTTAATAAATGCCTCACCCCCGTCAGATGCAAAATATGCCACCCCGTGTAACACATTACATGTTGGTGAATAATCAACTTTAAATCCTAGTATAATTGACTGGGATTCTATAATTTAAATGAATTTTTATATAAAAAAACAGGTCGCCTAAAAGTAGTTTTTATCCTGAGACTTGCATTTCAACCGTTATAGTTTTTCGTCGCTTCGAAACCACTTAACCGTAAGGTGATATATTTTTGACTTTACACGAATTGTTTTAAATATAAAAGAGGGACAGTCAAACTCGTATATCGAAAACAAACTGACAACGCCATGGCAAAAAATAAAAAGACAAACAGACAAATAATAGTACAGATGACACAACATAGAAAACCAAAGACTAAGCAACACGAACCCCACCAAAAACTGGGGGGGGGGGGATATCAGGTACTCCGGAAAGGGTAAGCAGCTCCTCCTGCTCCTCATGTGGCACCCGTCGTGTTGCTTATGTTATTACAAATCCGGTAAATAGTCTAATTCGGTAAGTCACATTCGTGAAAAGGGAGGGTATTGTAGTTACGACATAAGAAACATCCGATATCATCTGTGAAACGGTTATTCCATAACGGTCAACCAACTCGTGAAGGCGTCCGTAAAATTTACGAAGGGATGACTTCAACTTCACCATTTGGATCTCTTGGTTTAATAGCTTCCTTGTGAGCACCAATCCTCTATCAAGGAAATGTGAACCATTCCTGTAGTTTTAAATTCCACCTAATTCGCATTGGTTTTTTTTTTTGTTCGATGTCCACGCATCTTACGGCATATTGCTTATTTAGCTTTTAGTTTATTACAGAAAAGAAATCGGTGTATTATGTTATTTTTGTCTGAATCTTGGTAAGGAGCAAATTATATAAACTTTTAATAAGTATTACTTTATATTCACCATCATTTTTGTATATCAAAAAATCTTAAATTATTATTTGTTATGTATATGATTGTCTGAAATGAAAACATACCTCCATTATGCTCATAATCGGCAAAGCACTGACATAAGGCTTGTTTACTTATGTCATCCCCCATATCTGCAACTACAAGGTATACTGCACTACTTGTCAAATATGCTTGGTGTGTAGCATCACATTCTTTTTGTCCTGTAAAGTCCCATAATTCACATAATGCAAAAAGAATGGAAGGAGTATTTACAGTTGAACTAGAAAACACGCCAGACTTCAAATCATCTGGCATTACCAATGAAGACGACTCATTCGTATCGTCATTTTTATCCAGACTAACCTTTGCGTCCGATGTCAAATCATCGAGCATTACCAATGATGAAGACTCATTTTCTTCTTCACTTTTATCCAGACTAACCTTTGTGTCGGTTGTGATGTCTATTTTATTAGTAGATATCTCATCACGATGACTTATATTTATATTCATTGTCTCATCTACCTGAATATGTTGAGTGGCTCTGTCCTCGGCATTTGGAATAAGTGCTCTCTCAATCCGACCCACCTTATCGTCATTAATTTCTGGCAGAAAAATAAAAATTTTAATGTAGAAAACAAAACTTTCCGTTTTGCAAGTTTCAAGGCCATCTATGGCAGTAGTGATAATTTACCATACCATCCATACGGGTTATTATCTTTATATTATTTGTTCATCAACATAATACAATGTAGTTTTACGCGACTATCAGCTTTACTTGAAATGCAATCGCATTTTATATTATGATTGTATTGTTTATATTCAGAATTTATTGTAAAATTAATTTCGCATTTTAATCCATCGTTCAACAATCGCATTACCAAACATAACATAATTCACCACATGATATGTCTTTATATATAGTGATTACAAATATGTAGATCAATTTACTATAGGTTTACTTAAAAATAAAAATACGGAGTGTGGTATGATTGCCAACTGTCTACCAAAGTTAAAATGAAGTGGATTCAAGCAAAACAAGTTTTTTTTTGTTTTTGTTTACATTCCCAGCTTGTATATGAAGCTGCTGATTTCAAGTAGATATTAGAAGATTTGGTATGAGTGCCAATGAGACAACTCTCCATCCAAGTCACAATTTGTAAAAGTAAACCATTGTAGGTCAAAGTACGGCCTGAAACACGGAGCCTTGGCTCACACCGAACAGCAAGCGATAAAGGGCCCCAAAAATGACAAGTGTAAAACCATTCAAACAGGAAAACCAACGGTCTAATCTATATATAAAACGAGAAACACTTATGAACCACATCAACAAACGACAACCATGCCATAATATTGATTATTCTAAGCATGAAATTATTATATTGACAGGATCTCCAACAAACCGAACTCAATCGTTTATAGTGCGATGCAGCAAAATAGTTAATTAACTCGAAATGTTATATCAATGCATGGGTTCAATCAGGTTTTTTGGAACCTTGTCATTTGATCATAATTACCAGATTGGGAATGACCGGATGTTTACTTAATAGTGAAGGAAATGACATTTACCAACCATGTCACTAAATGACACATATGTCAATTTCTACTGGTTTTGCTGCGTAAAAAAAGAAAAAGAAAATCACACGACTGTTTTCATTAAAAATCTAGAGTAAAAATACTCGCAAGTCATGAACATTTCAGTTTTAGTTACAATCAATTTAATTGTAATATTTTTATTCATGAGAGGGCCAATGGATAAACATGCATATATACATGTTAGGCTAAATTTCTTAAACAAAGTAAACTGAAAAGATTGTTTCTGTAATTATTATTGTCGATTACTGCTAACTTTGACACATATTTTAATGAAATGTTAACTGTATTTCAACTCCAAAAATATTTCATGAATTATCATCAACAAAATATTATTTAAAATTTGGTTCCCCGTAGCGGATCAATTAGGTGGTCGTTATTGGGCTCTGATTGGAAAAAATATTAACTTTTGGCATAATGAAATAGCGCCTAGCGAAGCAAAAAGAACACAATCGTCCAAAACTGGTTTCGACTTGCTTTTCTATACGCGCTATTTCTTCTATTACTGTCGATTACGTCATCCCTTTCTTCGAACCATGGAGCTACTCCTCTGGTGAACACGATTCAATCAAAAGAACCAAAAAATATTACAGTGCTGTGGCCAAATTGTCATGACCATTCTTTAAATTAATCAGATATTTTTAATACTTAAATTTAAAGTTAACGTTAGACCCTTCATAGATTGAAGTTGCTTTAAACTTGTCTGATGATTTTGACATTTACCTAATATTATGTGCAGTACGTTAACTTATTCTTACCGCATTAGATATTTGCAGGTTTCATAACGCGTTAGAATTGGATATCGCTTGATATCAACTCCAGTTATTTCAGCTCAATATAATAATAAACGAGCCTTCGGCGAGTTTATTATTTCTATTTAAATTAAATAACGAGAGTAGTAGTAGTCTTTTGCACATACCAGCATAATGTCACATGTACTTTTCCGTCGTCAAACTTTAACATCAGACATTCTAAATATTATTGTACGCTTCAGAATGTATCACAATTCAATAAAAAGAGGATTTTCAGTTGAAAAGTGTTAGTGTTTTGTATATTATCGAAGAAATCATGTATGTCCGTTGCCATGGACGAAATGTACATCGCCTTAACCTTTGAAAGTTAACAATGACATAACGAATAGGCAATGGAAATGTCGTAAAATTGTCTCCTGGTGCTGGATAAGCCAGTCAAAGTTTACGCAGTTTTCGTATCAGTTTTTCATATGACACTCCATGCAGTGTGATACGGGAAATATCTCTTCATGCAGGAAATAGATAACAGGCCACACTCGTAAGAGAATTGCTGCTATAATTAAAACTAGAGGCTCTCAAGAGCCTGTGTCTCTCACCTGTATCTACTGTGGTTTTGAAAATCATGTAAAATAAGGTTAAACTCATATAGATACCGTAATAATGATTGAGGCCAAGTTTGGCCCAGTAGTTAAATTAAAAGCAGAAGATTTTTGAAAAGATTAACAAAAATTACCAATAATTTGTAGAAAATAACTTTAAAGGACAATAACTCCAATAAGATGTCAATTGCCAATTGGTCATGTTAACTTATTTGTAGATCTTTCTTTGCTTGATATTTTTGCTGTTTGCAGTATATCCCAATCTATAATGATATTCAAGATAAATAACAAAAAATAAAACATTTCCTTTCCTCCGCTCCAAAATTTTATTTCACCCAGGGCCTGTTTATGCTGAAAATGCCTTTAAATGTTTTTATGGAACACCCTTCAAAAAATTTTGGGCAGGGGTTCCCCTGACCCCGACTAACCCGTCGGGTGTATGGGGTGGGGCATTCACCCAATATAAGTATGCTGAAAGAAAAAATATAATAATGGTTTATAGAAAAAGTAACACTGAATAATTCTGAAAATAGAACATATCAAGGAGATATTATTAGCACCCCCTGGAAAAAAAATCAGTCATCCTATTGTAGTCTTACAATAGTTACTGAAGACCCCTTATCATTATTTAAATTAGTTTTTAAGTTGTGACCATTTGAACGTGTTTTTTGTTTACATTTTCCCCATAGACTTCTATAGTAAACCCCAATGTTTTTTTACCAATGGGGCCATGTTGGTTTTAGGGCAGGGTCATCGGATACATTTTTCAATCAAGATACTCTAAAAATAAGTATGGCTAAGTTTAATTCTATTTGGCCAAGTAGAATAAGAGAAGAGTTTTGTAAAAGATTAAAAAAAAAAAAACGAAAAATAATGATAAAATGACTTTAACGGGCAATTACTCCTTAAGGGGTCAATTGAAAATTCTGGTCATGGTGACCTGATGAACATTTTTACCCCCATGTTAGATTTGCTCTAATTGCTTTAGTTTCAGAGATATAAGCCAAAAACTGCCATGGCGGCCATCTTGGTAGGTGGGCGCGGTCAAAGGATACATTTTTAAAACTAGATACCCTAAGAATGATTTAGGCAAAGTTTGGTTTAATTTGGTCCAGTAGTTTCAGAGAAGATTTTTGTAAAAGATTACAAAAATTTACGAAAAATTGACTTTAAAGGGCAATAACTCTTTATTGGGTCAATTGACAATTTTGGTCATGTTGACTTATTTGAAGATCTTACTTTGCTGAACAATTTTGCTGTTTACAGTTTATATCTATCTATTATAATATTCAAGATAATAACCAAAGACTGCAAAATTTCCTTAAAATTACTAATTCAGGGGCACAACCCAACAACGGGTTGTCTGATGCGTCTGAAAATTTCATGGCAGATAGATCTTGACCTAATGAACATATATACTCCCATGTCAGATTTACTCTAAATGCTTTAATTTCAGAGAAATAAGCCAAAAACTGCATTTTACCTTCATGTTCTATTTTTAGCCATGGCGGCCATCTTGGTTGATGAGCGGGGTCATCGGATACATTTTTTAAACTAGATACCCTAAGGACGATTTAAGCTAATTTTGGTTTAATTTGGCCTAGTAGTTTCAGAGGAGAAGATTTTGTAAAAGTTAACGACGACGGACGATGGACGCCACGTGATGAGGAAAGCTCACTTGGCCCTCTGGGCCAGGTGAGCTAAAAATGATATAAATTTCACAATTATGATTATTACTATTATTCATGAATTTTTTAATCAAACCTGTATTTTAAAGATGTATAATGTTATCTATCTCGTGTTCTGAAATCCAAAAATGCTATGTAAAGGTTCTAGTGTGTGGGTATTACTTAGTGAAACACGTCTACATTTTTCTACAATGTAGAAAATATTGGAGATGAGCCGGTAAAATATTATCTAGAGATGTAAAGTCATATGAAACGAGTTTCTTAAAATTATGATGTTAAAAAATTATTGAACCAATGCATGTAGATATACTAAACTTAGTCCTCTATGCACGATTTTGTTTTACATTTATATCGAATCTATGACATATAATCGACAATAAATATGTCATGAAGTGAAAACTATGCCTGCTTCTTAACTTTCGTGATTCATTGCCGAAGTTGACCGAATGTGAACCAAAACAATCAACACAGAATCATTGAGAACGTGAATAATCAGTGTGATGATAGACATGCAATAGAGAGATTTGTAATTTTTCTTCTATTTTCCATGCATGTGTTTTTGTTAATTAAACTTTGTCATAACAGTTGTCTAATAATTTCGTGTATTTAATTTTTTCTTGCAAAATCAATCAACATTATCTAACTTCCACGTTTGTTCACCTTTTCTTGAATCACGAAATTTCCCTCCCGCTGTGGGGATACCGAATTACTTACAAGATATCTCGTAGTTATGGTCTCTGCATACAGAAAAGCTGTCGGAGAATAAGAATACGGGAAGGCAACAATTCAATAATTGCAGAAAATTTTGATACGATTAAAGATTTTATTTTAAAAGAAAGTTCATGTACACGTGTTTTATAGTAAAACTGAATCATTCGCGTATACAGAACATACTAAACTTTTTTTTTAATTTGAAATATCATATGACTCTAAGACGCTATTGAGTTGAAAACACAGACACAATTTTTTATGTTGACCGGCGAACGTATTTAGCGTCTATTTCTGTTTGAGCAGTGTTTGGTGTAAGGAACACACCCCTGTAAATGAAGTCCGTAAAGTGAGCAAATGAGCGAGCGTAATTGTATAAAAATGTATCAAAAACACGAAATCCTTTATCAAAAAAAACGAAATCATTGTCATTTGTAATCTCTAATAGCAATTGACAATTCAGTAAGTACATTCAAAGAGGACGGATATAACCACAAATGGTCTATACGATATGGCGCAATGTTTATAGGTACCAGTGAATGTTAAATGTTAAGTTACCACAAACAGTTTGCATTTAACATTAAAGGCTTTGCGGAAGAAAACAATCTTCACGTGATATATACATGTACTTTGTTGTGTTTTCAGTGTATTTTGTTATATGTAAGTAACCTTAAATAGGCGTATTCGATTAATGACTTTTTTCTGTAAATTCATAATCATTATACATCACAACTGAGTATTTACATACCTTTGCCAATTATCCATTTTCCATCTTCCATGTTTATTTTGCATCTACGAGCAACAATATCTACACATTCTGTACTAGAAACATCAGATATGCTTTCGTTCAATAATCTTCTCGAAAGGCACGTTTTTCTATCCGATTGTTTTCCAACTATCATAATTCTTACAAAATACCTTTTTTCACTTTTGGAACTTTGCATTATCGTATTGTATCTAATTTTATCTCGCTCTGATAATCGATTTATGGCTTCTGGTAAAACTAAAAAAGATTCATATATGTAATGTGATGTGTGAAATAAATATGAATAAATATGAAAATCGGATTTTCTCACCACAAATGAGAGAGTGTAAAGCGGCAACTCAAACATTAAACAAAATAAACACAATAATACACACACACGAACGTATTGCTCTGAAAATGGACAACCTATTATTCGTTAACATTCTAATTGTATAGAATTTGAAGAAATCTATTATTGTTGCTTAAGGGCTACTTCAGTCGTACATTCCAGCTCCTTTGTTCTACCAGGGGTGATTCTAGCTGGATCACCCCTACCAGATCACACTAGCTTGAGTTTTTTTGATCTGCATGGCGGAAATGTCAAATCCACAATAAAACTTAGAAATATTTATACGGAAAAGACTAACTCAAAATCTATGTAGAAAAAATCCACTATATATGCTGGGAATAGAACTCAAGACCTTTAACATATAGACCCATAATTCATACCCTTACACTAGGACGACTGGATATAAAGTCTGTTCATTTAACATATTAAAACATTGTCCGGGGCTAAGAAAAAGTATATCCTATTATAGTCTATACAGTAATATATAAAGTATATTATAATGATTGTGTGGAGTTCTAAACTAGGTGTTATGAAGCGTAAATGTTTTTTTTATATAAACCAAAACAGCTGGGATGCAAAATAGTTATCCCCACATGGTGTGTCAGTGTAAGATCACCCTCTGGCCTTTGTGTGTGGTTGAATGGGAATATATATGTTGTATTTATTACATACATTTTTTAAACCAACATAAAATGTAAGAAAATTACACTAAAAATAGAATTAGTGTGCAACACATTTTCAAAACACATAGAAAACTATTTAGACATACGACTAGAACTTTTTAAACGACATTGGGAAATTAAAACTATCTGTGTTAAAAGTTTATTGACGCTTCAAAACCCAATTTTATGATCTGTAGTATTATGATCTTGGTTTTCTTTTGTTTACGGATACAATAGACAGCCATGTGTTATATGCATTGCGTCACAGCGAAGAAGGCTAATATAATGCACCTGCTAATTCAACGTGGTAGGCTTATTTAATTAAAGATTCAATATTTTGCATACATCTAGAAACTGAAGAAAAAAGAGATGAATATCAAATATAAATTACGTTTAACTTATAACATTTTTCGTCTGTTCTAAACCGAGAAAATTCTAGAGTATAAAACCAGTTCAGTCACTAGTATTTTTGTACTGGCATGACAGAAAACAAAAACGGATACTTTTATAATTGAAATTTGCTGTTAAAGAAAGTTTAAAATGATGTCATTTTGAATTAAGAAATATGTCATCCTCATGCATATCTCTGATTCGATATCGGCATTTAGCTATGCGGTTTGTCCTTAATGTTTATCAAGCTCGCATTACTGAGGGGGCAATGATTGTCGGAGGGTGCATCTAAGGCAGTTTTATATGTATTTTCTATGTTATTCATGAATTCTAAAACTTAAAATCACACCACGACAAATTAGCCCATAGTTTACTTTTGCATTAAAAAGCGTCAGCCCACTTTCGAAGTTATTTTGTTTTGTAATTTTTGTATAACTATTCACCAAAACGTACATAACAGTCAAAATCTAACAAACGTGTTTAAAATTTTTTATAAATTGTTACTTGGATGGAGAGTTGTTTCATTGGCACTCATACCACATCTTCCTATATCTATTAAATTAGCAAGGTTTTCTCTGAATTAACATGCAAAATGGCCACATAAAAGTATGTTTCTCACAGAAAGGTTTATTATGTAAAACTTAAATTGACTTCTTTTTGAAAATATCATTATCATAGAAGAATGGCCAACTCAACATATTTCAAATAAACAAAATTGTAAGCTTCTTCGTGTTTAAGAATACACTGCATAACAGAGAGGCAAAAGATACCAGAGATAATCAAACTCATCAGTCGAAAACAAACTACTAATGTCATGGCAAAAAACGAAAAACGAAGAAAATACAAACATTATATAAAAGACAACATAGGAAATGAAAGACTGAGTAACAAGTACCCCAAAAAATAGAGATATATATAAAGGTGTAAAGTACATACAGTAAGTCGGAAAAAAACAGACGTCTGGGTGAATGACAATTTCGTTAGAACAAGCACACAATCTCCTCCAAGGGTGACTGGAATAGAAATATGGTCACGTTGATCTTCTTCCGACCGTCAGTAAAACCCTCGCTAAAGTGCGGCGTCCGATTGGCTGTGTGGGATGTATCAAGTACGCACCCACGTCCGGTTAGCAACAAAAAAACAAAATCATAGGCAAAAATCAAAATTCAAGGGTAATAAATTCTATAACGAGTCAAATTATGATGTAGGCCATGTTACCGATTTTAACTTGTTCGTTAGTTTTTAAAATGTTTCGATGATTTTCATAGAATTCAGCAAGGTATTCGCTTAACAGATGTTTTGCAAAAGGGTCTAACAAAACTATGTTTACAAAAAATTAATTGTTTAAAATCTTAATTGGAGACCAGATAAAACAAATCATGTGTATGGTCACACCACTTAGTGGTTGGGGCCATATAGTTTTACCCTTGTCCGTCATTCCACAACAAACAGTTATATGGACATATTTTCTAAACGCCTTCATATATTGAGATGAATTTTAGTATGCGATTCTAATATAATGAGTTACATATGGAGTTTATGTTTGGTTCCGTTCCGCTGATTTTGGCCTTAATTACGGGCTTTCGTGAAAATTACATGTATACGGTCTTCTTATCTAAAAGCCTTCACATATTGAGCTAATTCATCATATATCCACTCCTAAAATGACTTCAAGCTTTTTTTGCCAGCGTACTCACAAAACAAATTAGGACAAAAAACAAAACTTGGTTGTGTAGAACATTACGCTGCATAATAAATGATAAGCCGAATAAGTTGTCCCATACAATACCAAATTATGAAAAGTTTGAAAGCATAAAAAGATAACCTCAACAACATAGTCAAACTATCAAAGAGTCATTTTTTTTCCAATTGTTAAGCTTGTTTATACTTTATTAATCAGTATTATTTATTTAACACAAAATGATAATGTAAAATTTCATCATCTACCATGCTTATTTTGAAAGCCATAAGTTGATACACCATTAATTGCTCCTTTGCAACATTCTACTTTATAATTAAAGTAATTAAACGATGATCAAATACTTGCATAATAAAAGTTACGTTAAAAGCTTCTGCTTTTGGTTTGTGGGCATATCATGTATAAATCGTTTTGGAAATTTCCTGATTTTGTTTGTGCCCAGTGATTTAAATATCAGAACAGGTTATTAAAAATAAAAAAATAATAAATAAGGTCCATAAAATATGCAAATTCAGATGCCGTTTGTTTTCATTCGATTCTTCTATCTCATGAATTTCTGTACTCCAGTCAATTTTCAATAATTTATACCGTTATCAAGCAGCTATTGTAGTGTGATTTACACAAAAAACGATATTGTTCGATGCATTATTTGAGGGAACAAAGTATGCAACTTCAAAAAGCATAAAAACCGTAAAAAAATAAAACAGCAATTTTTCGAAATAATAACCCGATATCGGAAGAACTACTGGCATATCTGAATCGGAAAATTGAAAAAAAGCTGATGTGTCAGTAAATATAAATTTCTCATGTTAAACGTTCATGTAAATTGAAAAAAAAAATCCGAATCTTTCCTTACCTAGTTTCCGTGTCTGCTTGGTTATAGACTTCGAATACTGGCTTTTGACATGCTTATTTACAGAACGCAGTTTACATTCATAATATGTTTCAGGACGCAGATTTTGAAGTTCATACATGCGTCGTCCGTCCTCTCCTTTCAAAACATCTTCAGAAGAGAATGTTTCAACAGACCAGTCATGTGTTCCTTGATGTCGATGATCAAGCTCATACGATAGGCACTCGTCTGGTACATCAATAAACCATGCAATGGTTATTGAACAATCTGTGCATTCAACTATGTCAAATTGTCTAGGAGCTGTAAAAAGATAGATAAAAATGTCATCCAACTACCTGGAAATTTGAAGAAAATAGAGATATATATAAAGGGGTAAAGTACATACAGTAAGTCGGAAAAAACAGACGTCTGGGTGAATGACAATTTCGTTAGAACAAGCACACAATTTCCTCCAAGGGTGACTGGAATAGAAATATGGTCACGTTGATCTTCTTCCGACCGTCAGTAAAACCCTCGCTAAAGTGCGGCGTCCGATTGGCTGCGTGGGATGTATCAAGTACGCACCCACGTCCGGTCAGAATGAGGACGTTAAATCCAATGCATCGTCAGTCAAGAGAGTGCCACGCTCTCTGCACGTTAAAAAACATTGAAACAACTCTTGGAGGGGTACGTATGTGGCCTGTTGCAAGGCAAAATTCTGTCCCATCCACTATACCGCCATTTTCCAGTGGCAGTCCTCATTTCCCAGATTTTTTCCCGGACGGCCTCAATTACAAGCCCCACCTATTGTATTTAGTGTTAATATTTTTTTCTTATCCTGAACATGCATGTAACAATTTTGGTAGATTTTGTATTGATCAGTTATAATATGCAGTTTTCAGTTCAGATGTAAGTTCTGATCAAATATATAGACAGGCTGATTATAAGGTGCAAAGTTTTCTCTGCTTTCAAAATCTTTATGTTTGAATCGTCCTGGTTTTCTCACTACAATATAGTAGCGGTTCTTCATAAAGTGGAGGGAAGAATAAAGAAGAAGTACAAGCGGAAACTACATGTGACATTTACTATAGGTTTCGGTATCGGATTCGGCCAGGTACTTGTTATTGATAATATTAATTATGTGAACAACAAAAGGGCCTGGAATGGTGTAAACACCATTGTCCCTTATTAGTAATATATATAAAGTGGAATTCTTTTGCTGTGTGTTTATTTATTCTCCATTGGCTAGAGGTAAAGGGGTTGAGATCTCACAAAACTATGTTTAACCCCGCCGCATTGTTGGCGCCAGTCCTAATTCAGGAGCCTGTGGCATTTGTTAGTCATGTATGTTTTTTTAGTTTTGGTTCATTTATATGTTTCGTAGTTTAGGTGCGGAATTTTCCCGTTGTGTTGAAGACCCATTGGTGGCCTTGTGTTTTTTCTGCACTTTGTTCGGGTTGTTGTCTCGTTGACACATTCATTCCCCATTTCCATTCTTAATTGTATTTGATTCGACGTTTTTACGTCATGCCAACTAAAAATTGGACCGTGCTAGTTAAGGTGGATAGATTTGTTCTCGTCCTGATTTTGTAACTGTAAAAATGTCATATGTAGTTAGATACATATAATTAAGGCACTGTGTAACATTAAAAAATATTGCATATACAACTTGAATATCTGCCAGATACTTGCAAAATTCCATACGCATTTTCTTCCAATCTACGTACTGTATAGGTATTTATTTCTTATTTACGACACTTAAATTCCTTAAATGTGTATGATACTTCTTATACAAAAAAAAGAGATATAGATACAGAAATAGCGAAATAAAATGAACGTTTTAAGATTGGAGAATTGTTGTTTGCTTTACGTCCAAAGGCAGCTAGTTCATGCATATTCAAGACGAGAACAATAGATAAGTCCTGTAACTGGGGTCGTCTTTAAAGAGCTGTTGCAAGAGTTTATGATACTACAGATACAGTTAAGTCTGCCTCATATCTTGACTTACATCTAGAAATTGACAATGAGGGTCGGTTGAAAACAAAACTTTACGACAAAAGAGATGATTTCAGCTTCCCAATTGTGAATTTTCCATTTCTATGTAGCAACATTCCAGCAGCGCCTGCATACGGAGTATATATCTCCCAATTGATACGATATTCCCGGGCTTGTGTTTCCTATCATGATTTCCTTGATAGAGGATTGCTGCTCACAAGGAAGCTATTAAGCCAAGAGTTCCAAATGGTGAAGTTGAAATCATCCTTTCGTAAATTTTACGGACGCCATCACGAGTTGGTTGACCGTTATGGAATAACCGTTTCACAGATGATATCGGATATGTTCCTTATGTCGTAACTACAATACCCTTCCCTTTTCACGAATATGACTTTCCGAATTTGACTATACCGGATTTGTAATAACATAAGCAACACGACGGGTGCCACATGTGGAGCAGGATCTGCTTACCCTTCCGGAGCACCTGAGATCACCCCCAGTTTTTGGTGGGGTTCGTGTTGCATAGTTTTTAGTTTTCTATGTTGTGTCATCTGTACTATTATTTGTCTGTTTGTCTTTTTATTTTTGGCCATGGCGTTGTCAGTTTGTTTTCGATCTATGAGTTTGACTGTCTCTCTGGTATCTATCGTCCCTCTTTTAAGGACACCCGGGATGACGGTCTGGTAAATTTTTAACTGTCACTGGAAATGAGACAATTGGATACGGACAGAAATTTCGCCTTGCAACAACCTAAAAGAGTTGGTGCGATGGTTTCTAACGTGCACCCAGCGTCGCACGCACTTGACACGAGGCAGTAGATTGAACATCCCAAATCTAATCGGACATTGTCGCGTATTCATACATCATGCACAACCAAACAGACGACAACATTTGGCAAGGGTTGTACTGTCGGTCGGAAGAACACCACATTTCTATTTTCCAGTCACTCTTTAGTTCTATATATCTTAAGAGCTTACTTCTATGATGTTGGATCCATCGTCGCATAATGCTCAGTACAATAATCAACACGACTAAAAAAAAGATAAAATGTGATCAGAATACAAATGTATAAATATAATTGTATTTCAGTACTACAACAGTAAATATTAAAAGTTGTAAATAGCCATTCTGAAAGGAATATATAAAATATAATTTAACATACATATGTTGTGAACAGGCAACTATATCGATTTGTGTGCACGTAAAACGGGTTTAATTTAATCACATTTTTTTGGATATGGCTATTCATGCTATTCCTTAAGGTCTTTTGAAATTCCATACGTAATTCTTTTTTTATTTATTTGACCGTGCCTTGTGAAAGTAAATCCAGAAAAATATATCGGACGCAAGAAATTGCAAAAATTAAAATTTCGCCCTTAGTCACACTAACTGGACTATGTGCTGTTTGTACTTCGAATTTATAAATGATTGTTGTTGGTTGGTCAAGTCTTTTGTATTGTTCAATATTTTTTTATAATTAAGGAATAACTGTACTGTAGTTGAAGAGTTGCCTTCGTCAATTGGCGATTTGATGGTCGCAAATGCAGTTTTACTGGCGACGCGTAGTTGCGACCGTCAAATCAAAATTGACAGCGGCAACTCTTCAGCTACAGTACTGTTATTCCGATTCTAGTGCATTACAAAAAGATAAAATACGTTAGAGCTTGAAAATATGTATAAATTTGAAATAAAATAAAATTCTGCAAAACTTCATGAATTATTTTGGCGCAAAGACGTTATGGCTAAACATGACGTTATACAAATGAAAACTAACAAACTGAAGGTTATTACGTCACCTCTGCGATTCAACGATAAGAGCACATAAAACGGCGATTTCGAGGTAGGTGTTGTTTTATTTTCGATAATATTGTAGTAATCGAACATTTGTTAATTCAATCTGGTCAAAATGGCGGGTCTCTCCTTAGTTACAACATGTCAACTGTGGATTTGATGGTAACTTTTAGCCAATGAAAAAAAATGTTACATAAAACTGCATTAGAATTTCTGTAATATCGTTTATTTTTAATTGCAATCATTGAACTGCAAATGTAAATAACGCCAAGGTCAAACCAAAAAAAAAAACAAACTTATTAGTATGGACAAGTTGACACACTTTGCGCTGAGGAGTAATGTGGAGCGTTAATTACTTATTTTAGTGCTTATATTGTTAAAATATTTGGTATTCAGATTGTGCATTCTCGCCTTTCTTCTGCATTCAAATCCGTGCTTTGATACTCAATTGTTCATTTGATAATTCAGTTCAATCATATAGCTTTCTATATTTTACAGTTTTACAAACACAGATGTAATAAAGAACTCTTGATATCTGAAATATATTTTATAAATCGCTTCAGTACCAATACATTAACGTATGAGCTGATGATACTCTCTGGGACTAACAGTTTACCAACAGCGGTACCGAACTTTTGTTTTATTTTGTTGAGGGGTAATATTATAGAATATGGCATAATTTAACCTAAATTAGTGATAAAGAAGAGGCGGAAGATACCATATGTTGAAAGAATCCTTTCAAATATGCACTATTTTCTGCTGTAAAGTGTAAAACCAACAGATAGTAGAAACGAGAAAATATTGCAAAAAAGACACTACACGTTCATACAATCTTATCAAACATAAGTGTTCCTAATTGATTAAATGGTCGACCAAAAAATCTTATTGAATTTTTTTTTGCTATAATTCATATTAAGCCTATGTCTTAATAAAGATTATCGACAATTTGAAGGTATTCTTATGGGCACCAATGGCACCCCTTTGAAAAAATTGAGAATGGAAATGGGGAATGTGTCAAAGAGACAACAACCCGACCATAGAACAGACAACAGCCGAAGGCCACCAATGGGTCTTCAATGCAGCGAGAAACTCCCGCACCCGGAGGCGTCCTTCAGCTGGCCCCTAAACAAATATGTATACAAGTTCAGTGATAATGGACGTCATACTAAACTCCAAGTTATACACAAGAAACTAAAATTAAAAATGATACAAGACTAACAAAGGCCTGAGGCTCCTGAGTTGGGACAGGCGCAAAAATGCGGCGGGGTTAAACATGTTTTTTGAGATCTCAACCCTCCCCCTATACCTCTAGCCAATACTACCTCAACAACAGTACGCACAGTAAAACTCAGTTTAAGAGAAGTCCGAGTCAGATGTCAGAATAGGAAACAAAAGAAAATAAACAAAATGACAATAATACATAAATAACAACAGACTACTAGCAGTTACTGACATGCCAGCTCCAGACCTCAACTTAACTGATTGAAAGATTATGTGTCTTCATCATATGAATATCAGGCACAATCCCTCCTGTTAGGGGTTTAGTATTATATCATCATAAAATATATGAGAAGAACATAACCCGTGTCATGCCAGCAACTGGTTTTAGAATAAATATATTTAATTCCGATGCAAAGACCCGTTAAGTGAATTAATATTAAAGCCAAAATATGCAATATTTAATGACCTGACAACAGTATCGTAACTATATCCCTTCTTAATAAGTCTGTTTAAAGGTTTTGTTAGCTTTTGAGGTGAATACTGACATGTTTGTGCTTTGTAAAGAATTTTACCACAAAAGATTGGATGTGAAATACCCGAACGTATAAGATGTCTGCATGTTGAGTTATATTTACGAATGATGTCCTTATACTGATGATAAAATTTAGTAAATGTTTTGACTAGTTTATGATATCGAAAACCCTGGTGTAATAATTTTTCAGTAATACATAAATTTCTCTCGCTAAAATCTAAAACGTTGTTACATACACGAGCGAATCGTACAAGTTGAGATATATAAACACCATAAGATGGTGACAAGGGAACATCACCATCTAAAAATGGATAATTAACGATAGGAAATGAAAAATCATCTCTTTTATCATAAATTTTTGTATTAAGCTTCCCGTTAATGATATAGATATCAAGATCGAGGAAAGGACAGTGGTCATTGTTAGTATTAGCTTTATTTAAAGTAAGTTCTACAGGATAAATTTCTTTAGTATACATACTGAAATCGACATTATTGAGAGCCGATATATCATCCAAATATCTAAAAGTATTGTTAAATTTTTGTATCAGATGTTGTTTCGATGGGTCTTTGCTGATTTTAGTCATAAATTGTAACTCATAACAATACAAAAACAGGTCCTCCATAAGTGGTGCACAGTAAGTCCCCATTGGTAATCCGATAACTTGACGATATACGGAATCTCCAAAGCGAACAAAAATGTTATCAAGTAAAAATTCAAGGGCAGATATAGTATCAAAGCATGTCCAATTGACATAGTTCTTTTGTTTGTTGCTACTAAAAAATGACCTAAAAGAGTTTGAACAGATGTATTCGCATTCCGACTTTTTAAATGCCCATCTAATAAGGTGTGTGAATTTTTTCTTAATAAGAATATGAGGCAAAGTGGTATATAGGGTAGAAAAATCAAAACTTTGAACAGATTCAAAATCACCAATATATGCATGCAATTTATCAAGTACTTCCAACGAGTTTTTGACACTCCAAAAGTAGTTAATTCCACTATTTTCAAAGGCTTTATTTGAACAATTTATTATCAGGTTTTTGATTGTACCAAGTATACTAGTAAGAAGAATAGACAATTTAGTAGTGGAACAATGACTTGAAGACGAAATAAATCTATATTTGTAAGGTGATTTGTGTAGCTTCGGAAGGCAGTACATAGTTGGGACTTTCATTGTATTTGGTTCTGCTTGTAAATAAGTAGCTAATAGTTTATGTTTGTTACAGATATCGTTTTCTGAAAATGAAGTCAGTTGGAATGTTGGTGAATTCGTGATTTCCTTTTGCAGAACCTCAATGTAAAATTTTCGTCAAACTATAATGATATTATTAGCAGCTTTATCAGCCGGGACAAAAACGAATTCCTTGGCTAGTTCTTTTAGTTTATGTTTGATACGAGAAATAGGATTTTTATGGTTGTTGTTAAGAGTAAAATGTTGTATACGTATATCAACTATCTTCATTACTGAATTAAAAAAAAGAGTCCAAAGATTTTTTGTCAGCTTTTTCCCGTTTTATCCATTTCAAACAGTAGGCACGAAGTGAGTCGTGGATGATATTACGACACTCATTCCAATTAATAATTGACGGGGAACGATATTTAGGTCCTTTACTGAGGAATGATTTTAACTCTCGGTCGCGAACGATGTTAAGGTCACCTGTTATAACATGGGAATGGGGCCATAAGTGTATTCGGAATTACTACAATTACATGACGGAGGTGTATTTTCACTGATATTTACATTTTTACAGACTTGGCTATAATTAAACACAAATTTTCGGGTAGATTTCTTGTAACTATAACAAATAAGAGGGAGTTCAGTTTTATCAAAATATCCAGGATTTTGTTCTTTAACAAAATGGTCGTTAAAAATACCGGCAATATTTACAAAATCAAAACCTTTATTGACATACTTTATCTTAATAAAATGTTTTTATGATCTTCAGGGCGATCAATTTTAGGAAACAGTTTAGAATAACAATATGCCATTATAATTTGAACGAATTCATACTTAGGACTGCAATATGAAATTGTGTTGCAATCCTCTAAAATTTTATTTAATTTATTTATAGGTAAAGAACATGGCTTGGTTAATAGATAATGTCTGCCGTTGTTTTTTGAAATAGAAATTAGGTCCGAAATATTTGTATGGTTGGTCCGAAATTTTCTTTGATTGCGATTTTTTCTACGCAAATGAGAACGGTTTTTACGAACAGTTTTAGAAACTATATCCAAAATGTTAACAGAATCGGTACTTGATATATTACCAATTCCCATGATATTATCATTAAGACCGAGAGGGTAGACTCTCTGTAATTTTTTAATCCAATTTAATTCAATTATTTTCCGTGATCGTACAAACTTTGAATGAGATTCACCAGGCTGCTTATCTACCACTTCTAAAGGTTGAACTGTTAAATATTTAATAGGATGATTGTGCTTTTTAAGATGTTGATAAATGATACTTTTGAATTTATTGGGTCTTTTAAAACGATACAGGTGTTCTTGCGTGCGTTTATATAAATATCGTCCAGTTTCACCTACGTACTGAATACCGCATCCCGGTTTGTTTCATGTGAGTAAATAATTTTACTGTTTGTTTTTCAAGTTATATCAGTTTCAAATTTTAAAGAAAATGTGCGACCATTAAACGTAGACCTAACCGTATTGTTGGTGGAAAGACGGGGACATGTAAGTCATTTTTTGGCATGACACTTATCGATAGAAGGGTAACCACGATTTTTATTGTTAAAAATGTTAGCGATGGTAGTATTTTTAGATAAGCGATTTTGAAGATTGAGACGTGTAGATACCCTTTGAACGAGTTAAGTATTTAATATTTTTCCATTTCTAAGCTTCCTATTTGTTTTTTGTTATGTGGATTTTATTAGAAAGTAGAAAAGACTGGCGTCCAGAATATGAACCATCACACAATAAATTGAATTATGTGAATATGATAAAACTGTTCGGCTAAAGACGTCAAACGCTATCCGTCATAATTTACCCGAAAAATAAACAAAAGATGGAGTATATCAGGGTAGCGACTGACGTCTGACTAAATAGAAGAATGGGGCTGAATGTGAAATACTACTTCTTGATAAATATTCCTAAAGTAAAGAACATAGCGAAGTTCTCGCTCGGACACACACTCCATAATCTAGTATATTATAAGAGCATAAACCTGAAGCACGGGGAGGCACTCTACTGTCTCCACACGGCACTAAAGACAAACTCTGTAAAAAATAAAATTGAGAATGGAAATGGGGAATGTGTCAAAGAGACAACAACCCGACCATAGAGCAGACAACAGCCGAAGGCCACCAATGGGTCTTCAATGCAGCGAGAAACTCCCGCACCCGGAGGCGTCCTTCAGCTGGCCCCTAAACAAATATGTATACTTGTTCAGTGATAATGGACGTCATACTAAACTCCAAATTATACACAAGAAACTAAAATTAAAAAGGATACAAGACTAACAAAGGACAGAGGCACCTGACTTGGGACAGGCGCAAAAATGCGGCGGGGTTAAACATGTTTTTTGAGATCTCAACCCTCCCCTATACCTCTAGCCAATGTAGAAAAAACAAACGTACAACAGTACTTGTTTCTGTACTGTTTTGAATCACAATTTATTGCAAAACGCAGGGAACTCTATACTAAAATTAACGACAAAACGGACGAATTTTTCGTTCCCTGTTGTTAATCTTCGTTTTTTGGACGATCCGGGTTAACATATTGATCTTTTAAATAAACTTATTCGAAAAGGTTACCAATTCAACACTGTAAATATATCTTTGAATATTGTTTTAACCGGTAAAGATATGGACTGTTTAAAACAATAAATAAAAACCCAACGAAATATAATTTTATACAGTTATTGATTGTTGGCAGTAATGAAGTTGAGTGTTAATGTCAATATGCGACAAAAACCAACCATCATTTAGAAACTGTGCCTTTTTGAACTTTATAAACCCGACTTTTAAAATGCTAGTAAAGTAAGGCAACCACATGAATCAAATAAAAGCCTGTACAACTTATGATTTTAAACATTGAAAATATTGCATTTAACAGTAAATAAACATTGAAAGCAAATAGTCGACTTTTCAACTTTACACATATGTTATTTTTTTTTAAACAGCATGCAAATAAATTGGCCTAAATTTCTTCATCACAGGGGAAAAAAATTTACAGTTCTTGAGTCCACGGTTAACCCCTGTTATGCATTATACCATAGTTTTAATAATTGATATTCGCAATTTGTTTTCCATCAAATTGCACTAAGGGTTAATATGAAAGTATGATAAAAGCAAATAATGTCGACTTAATATTTATTTGTAATCATCATGAAACAAAATTGTATATTAAAGAAGATGGCGGGTCTAATCTTTTAATCTACAAATTGTGAAAAAGCAAATGTGTGTGATAAAAAGGAAACTATATAGAATTTTACTCCGTCCAAACCCGTTCAAAAACATGAATGGTGAAATAAAAAAAAATAAATTTCGGAATTTTTAAATTAATCTCTTCATATATTTTGAAATACTTACAGTATGATAATAACAATATCCATATAGATGTGGCTGCTTTCTTGCGATATTCATCTACAATAATGCGAAACAAAGTTTGGGATGTGAAAGAGTGCTATATTTTACAACATTTTTCCTCTCTATTTTAAATTGATGTAGTTTCATTAGCACAGATGGTTACTTTAACTGACACTTCAGATTATCAACTATTTTTCAACTGAATGTTATATTATGTATGTGTGTTCTACGTTTGATTCTAATAACACATAACTATCATTCAATAACATTTTGACGGGCAACAAAAAACGTTAAAAATTCGCATTGTTGAATGTAAGCAAGTGATACGGTAGATTTTTTTCTTAGATTAATCGGCCATCGAGGTCTCTAGCATAGCTAGAATAATGATGACAAAAATTGTTAAAAAAAACAACATTAAACAACCTTGGTTTATTAGCCATTAAATATTTCTGATTATTTTCAGGTCTTCCGTCTTTTGGGTCATGAAAAATCTTACTTAGCGAAAAACCACACTGATTCCCGTAAAAAATACACCAAAGATGATACAATCGTTATGCTGGACAATTTGATTGATGACATATTTGTTGAGTTAGATTGACTGATATTTTAGCAGGCAGTCAGTATTCCAATAAATTCTAATTTTGCACTCACCTATACTGGCTTATTTGTTTTTTTATTGTACTCATATCAAGCTGAATTCATTAAGAACCTTCTCAAAACAAACAAGAGCGAAATGCAAAGTTTTTTTAATTTCACTTCTTGATATATTGATGATGTCCTGTCAATCAATATTTCGTACTTTATGTATAATATATAGTCAGCAATATTGGTACACATAAATTTAAGAGTCTTTCAGTTTTAATTTAAAGTGCCAACAATTCCTGTTTTTATTAAAAAAAACACAACAATAGGTGGTTTTGATATTATAGGATAGTTTGCACCAATCAGCACTGACCATATTTGTTCTTTGTAATGATCATTAAATGTCAGTTTCACAAATAAACATGTTAAGTAACTTTGGATATATAATATCAACACAATGACAACACAGTTTTATCGGCTTTATTTAAGTGCCAAAATTTTCTCTTTTTCTCAAAACACTAAACCTCCATTAAAAAAGTAGACGTGATATCTTATGAATATCTTGTAGTTTATTAGTTTTGTTATTTTACTTTTTAGGATGGTGTATATAAAAAAAAGTTTGCAAACATCAATCAACACTGATCATATTATTCTTTATGTTGAAAATATATGCTTGTATCATAAATAATGTAATTTGGTATCTCAGGAATAATATAAATGACAACAATATTGATATACATAACTTTATATTTTTGCAGTTTTTGATTAAGAGTGCCAACATTTCTTCTTTTAATTGGAAATTCTGAATTGATCAGTATTCGTACTCTGACAGGAAAAAATGTATTACAAGAATGTTTTAATGGTTTTTTTTTTTTTCTCTTAAAATTGATAATGATTATTTTATTTATACAAGAATAATCATGAATGAACAATGAAATTTTAAACTGTATTTTGATGTACTGGTAATAGAACAAACAGTTCCGTTTATATAATCAAAGGCCAGCTTTGATATTGGAAGAGCATGAAACGACAATCTGGTGAGGTCTGGAGCAGTTTTGTCCACAGGACTTATAAACAACAGACATGGCAATAAGTCTGAGACTGTACCAAAAATGAGACATCAAGTTAACTTGATTATCTGCTCAAAATTTATTAAGTTAACTTGGAAAGCAATCAATCATCAATTAATGAGTCAACATGTCTGCTAAAAGTAAACTTTTGTACAAGTAAGGACAGCACGAATCTGTGTATTTTTGTTAAATAACGGTGGACATTAAAACTTATGTTCTGTACAATTGTTCCAACAGCTCTTTAAAGGAGTTATTGAACATCAACTGTTTTAACTGCCTGTAGTGGTTGATAAACTGATTTCAGAGAAAAGAATGTGGCAGTCATTGATTTTCGGATCCTGTCTCCATATTAAATCAAATAAAACATGTTTTAATCCTGAGAAATAAGAATTAGAAGTGTTATATTTTTTATTCCTTTTTAGATTTGTTTGTCAATTTTTTAGAAGTTGGGAATAACAGCCGTTATCGATGGTTGTTTGTATCATTAGTCATAATTTAGAAAGTTCACCAAAAATATATAATGCAGGCAAAATTGGTCTTTAACATTTAAGCATTTTTGACATTTATGAACGAGTTATTCGTATGTGATATGACCATTTGAGACATCATCCAGAATTCTAAAAGGGCATTACAAATCAATCATTTGTTATCATTAATTTTGCAGTAGTTGCTCTAAAAATTATTTGTGTAATTTTCATGTTTATTTTCTTACAAAATTCAACACAAAACGATTATAAATACATTGTCTTTAAATTACTTTATTATTATATATTGATCCTTCCTGTATCAGGTTGAAACTTACTTATAGGAACATAGTTAAGGTTGTATTTGAAGTTGTCAAACTGAATGATCTTTATCGTCCGTGAATTATTGAACCTGAAAAAACACACACATGTGCCTATTGGTACATAGTTTTGTACACATTTAATGAGAAAAGTTATCATAAAAACAAATTGTAATTTCAATAATAATGAAGTGTTCAACTATCTAAAGCAAAGTAACTGCTAGCAGAATCTGTCGTTTCTTAAATGCATTATACAAAAGTATTTTTTCAAACTTCAGAATATGTTCGTCGTGAGCATAGGTAACACACCTTAATCCATTTTGGTATTGTTATATAACATCTAAACTTTGGAAAACATATTCAGTCGCGAATCCACACAACTTAGATGTATGTTGTTATATAGAAGAATTTAAAGAGACATACTATGTGTAGGTATATTTGAATTAATTTACAGAAAAAAAATTGACATAACAAAGGAATATAGACTTAAACCAAAACTTACATATCTCTTAAGTAAGGACTTCTTGTCATTTGCATGTCATCATAACATTTGATATCTGAAAATATAATTGACACGTTTGGTTTTCTTATAAAAAAAATCCCCTACAAATGATTATCTTCTACGTCAGTTTTAATGGTCGGTAGCAAATTAGTTTGCACAATCTCGATAACCAGCATGTATGCAAAATTGTTCAAATGTTTTCATTACACTATAAAAGTGTGTTGGTTATAAACATACACGAGGTTTTCTATAACTTAAGATGTTATTCATTTTACATTTGTGTGCAACATGTACGTTTCTTAATAGATAATTGTGTAAATGTTAATGATGGTTAAACCAGACGACACAAATATCCGAAAGACAGTTATAGGGGAACATAAAGTCTTCAACAATAGACAGGAGTCTATACATTATATCAAGCTGTAAAGCGTCCTAAGCCTGTAAAGATTTTCAGTTAATTTCATAGTAATAATCAAAACCCTGTCATTTAAATCTTTTTCTCGTTGAATAGACATTTTTACATAATATGTCTGTTTGTTTTGTTCATACATTGTTGTCAATATAATGGAATTTTATGCAACTGTCATTCAAGTGAGAGGTTTAGTTAGCTTTAAAACCAGGTTTAATCCACCATTTTCTTCATAAGGAAATGCCTGTACTAAGTCAGTAATATGACAGTTGTATTCCATTCGTTTGATGTGTCTGAGCTTTTGATTTTGCCAATTGTTAAGGGACTTGAATTTTCCTTAGAGTTCGGTATTTTTGTTATTTTACTTTTTACATACAATTAGTGTATCAATGATTATTACCGATAGCATCACAAAATGATGACTTTTTGGTTGGAAATATCCCGGGGGACTAAACGTCCATCGGTACCAGCAAAGGAATAGACCCATTAGATATAAAGAAACCTAATATCTAAATATAACCCTAACTTTAGCCCTTAAACTGATTTGGATTTTTAATAAACAAGCTAAATAAAGTTTTGATAGAATTTAAATCTGACAAAATAGATACTTATACTTTACCTTTCAGTCCAACCGTTTTGTTGTATGGATTTATTCCGAGATAGCAAGAGCAATCTTCAGTTGAAGGATTGCAGTAACATTGGTTTTTTGAGTTCATGACAAAAGTATATCCTCTATCGGTATTACAAATACATGTTCTGTCGACCGTAGTATTGCCGTATTCATACGTCTCTTGACCTAAGGTGTTACAAAGTGATTTTTGATAGATGCAGTCACTGTACCCATTTGTTTCAAAAATTTCAGGTTGATATCGAGTTACACTGCATGTTGCTCTGTTTAAGTTCGGCTGATAGACGTATTTATGACCTGCAAATGTTAATTAAAGAAATATTCAATATACATGCGTCTCAAGTTCCTTAATTAATGGTTTTTATAGTTTAAGTTATATTTCGCTGCATTTGTCACTTCTTAATCCAGATACATGTACTTAAATACGTTCACAACAAAGTTTCTTTATTTACATTGAAATACAACAATGAATAAAAACAACTTGTATTTATTGAAGAAACTTTCTTTTCAATTGTTTATCAAACATTTTTATTATATTACAGTTATTTTTTAACATAAATAAAAAAATACTTTCATTGTTTGCTCTGATAAAGCTAAAAAATAAAAAAAACATACATGCTATTGTATTAACAGGACAAACTTTGAGATATCTTCAAAGACTTACCACGATGTAATATTCTAGGTCTGTTACATATTTCTCTGTATACATTTACTCTAAATGTTACGTCAAATAAGCAAGTATAATTTTTTGGAGGCTTACACATGGATTTTGCCCGAATTTTCCAGTGTGCCTGTGATGGACAGGTGAAATTGTAGGCTTCATTCAAGGACAACATCTAAAAAAAGATAAATGCATATACATCAATAATTTAAGCAAGTATTCAATCAAAATTGTATTTTGTCAACACTGACGCACATAGGCGATGGTTTGTGAGCAAGCAAAAAACTCATGAAAAACACCAGCCTTAGTATTGTGTATGCCAGACGCGCGTTTAGGCTAAATAAGACTCACCAATAATGTTGGTAGGCCAAATCAAATACGAAGTTGTACGGATAGTGTGTTTTAAAACTTTGTTGTTGGAAATTATTTGAAATAAAGGAATATATCTCTTTCATGCAAGCTCTGATTCCTTTCCAGGCTTTCGGCTATACTGTAAGACAAACTTCAAATACAGAAAATGTGTGCCAATTACAGATAAGGCAAGATGATTTGGGGGTGACCATGGTGAAATAGTAGTAGTTAAATCTGTCAATAAGTAAAATCTTTTGATATGTATAAAATCAGGCCTAGTGTAAAGCTTGGGACTTTATTGTGCCCAAAAACAGCTTATAGTTCAATTACTTGTTATGGATACATTTTAGTTTGATACGGACACTGCAATTCCATGCGGAAAATCTGCGACGCACTGGTGGTGTATGAAAACATCTGAACGTAAACCAAGCAACAATCCTTGATGATTTGAGACTGTTTGTAAACACGGGTATATATCCATAGGACAAAATGCCACGCTCGCACAGTCATATATTCGCCTTGAATGAACCATGCAACGATATAACGGACACATGAACTAAAGTTGAAAGATTTGATGGTTAAATACTGAAAAGTTAATTTTATACTGAGATGTACTGGTTTCAAACTTTACATTTCTGTCATTAGGGAACCATGAACTCGGGGTAGAATCGTTATTTGGAATATGATTCAAAATGTGTACGACCATTTAAGGCCAGTTGGTGGAATAACATACATCTTACATAGTCTATCAGAATTATTCGCCCTACACATATGTTATCTAAAATATATTTCGATTTGCCCCGTTGTTGTCTAAATGCTTATAATGTTTTTTGCACGCTTCAGTATGACAGTACATGTTTGATTGCTTTGCCAGATTTATTTTGTTGATATAACTCCATAGCTTTGTTCTTTAATTTACAGTTGTGGCGTGATTGTCAGTTTACAAAGAATTCCATTCAAACATGTGCTAGGGGGCGTCTTAATCTTGCAGTGAAGTGAGATTGATTTTGTTCCGTGTGCAAGGCCTTACTGTGACTTTGAGATGAAGAACAGCAATTAAATCGCTGTGCCATTGCTTTTCGTGTTTTTTGCTCTGCATTTACTGATTTTGTGTCATCGATGTATTACCCCATATCCTTTTTTCTACTACGTTAAACTGAACATATGTACTAAACTTAATTTTGATGTGAAAATTGTATGGTAAATTTCCTTATTCTGAAACAAGACGGAGATACATAAAAAAAAACAGAGGTGTCAGATTCAAATCATACATACCTGAAGGAAAGTCAGGAAGATGAACATGTCCATGATTTTTTTCTTCATTTATAATCTATGCCATCTAGAAAAATAAATATTTAATAAATCTAAGGTTAAGATATTGACCATAACCCACCATTTGGCTATATACTATTGCATATTCTTGATGCACGGTTGGTCTGTGTCAAGATGTTTGTTATATTTTTATATCCGAGTAAACATTTCTTCAAATTATTATAATCAAGAAGACAGATGTCCTTATTTCTTAACAAACATGTCCACATGAGTTAATGATGAGAGGATTAGAAAGTATTCTGTACAACTACCGAGTCATTAAAATTGAAGGTAAATAGGTAGACCTCGATAATACTATTTTGTAAAATAGTTTCATTTTGATTCGGCATTAAATACAAAGACCACACGAATAATAACGCCTTTGACTTATGTTTGAAATATTCCGAACCTTAATTTTGCATGTGACCAATGGAAACAGTGAAACGCGCTTACATTTGTGTTAATACACACAAGGTGGTAAAGGGAATGATTGCATACACCGGATTGAGTATTGAGTATGAATTGTAGATTAATATCAGGAAACATTAAATAACATTTTGAAACTGTTTGATGTACAATACTTGAGACATAATGCATCTAGTGCTCACTATTCTTAAATATTAATAAAACCAAAACAAAGACGATCCCGAAATTCAATAAATGATGTTATCATCAGCACTAAAATGTGATTTTCCTTCTTTTTTTTTTTTTTGTTAAAAAAGTAAGATGATAATCTTGTTTCTTCATACTGGATACCAAAACTTAACAAAACGTAGTAAATTTGTCTCTTTTAAACCAATTTACGAGATTTGAACATCAGAAAACTACTGTCGTCTTTATTTCATAGATTGTTTATGATTGAAATGGTATCTGGTTCTGATTCTGTTTCATTGGCATTTACTTGGGTATCATGTTTTTTTCACGTTGATTTTATCTGATAAAACGAGTAAAATAGATTATGCAAAAAACGTGCACTCTCTAAATCCAGCGATGACTTACTTTAATTGATATTTATTATTATTGACTTTTCTTTAAACAGAAAATCCGTATTCAAAATTTTGGAACAAAAGAAAACCTTTGAAGAAATGTTTATTTAATTCTAGTATGTATCCTATAAAGTGGGCGGGTGCACATTCTCGCTTATCGAACGATTTAAACAAAATGATACAAAGTGTAAACCACAACGTAATATGTATCAATAACGTAGACAGAAAATTAATTGGTTTTTGTTCGTCAAATAATCAATATCAATTTCATTAGCACCATACGATTTGTTTGTTATTAAAAGACTTAACATTAATTTACCCAAAATCAAAAATATAATTATGAAAATAAACATTATCACTACTGTCTTTTAGTGGTAATTTTTTTATTTCTAATCATCAGTTATTTTTCCCTTATCATTCTCAAAGAATCAACGACTCACATCTTAAACGCGACAACGGTTATCTCTGCTTTGTTATTTGATCGTGTAATTTTTAAATAATATTTGTAATTATGTAAATACCATGCAAAGAGTATATTATTGTTTTTCCTTGGTTTCGGCATAATTTTAGACTGACCTGAGGACATTTACAATCAAATCAATTTATCAAGATTGAATTTTCAAGTTTAGTGACATCGTGGAATTGACTTTTTGTTTGTTAATACATTTCAAAGATATTAAAATTATGTTTTTAAGATTGATAAAACATAGAATGACAATGTTAACTAAACATACTATGCTTACCTGAAACTTCTTAATCCAAAATTAAATAAGAGAAAGATGTTGAAATTAATGTTTATTGTTGTCCATTATAAGTTATTGAATTGAAAGTACAGAGTGTCCATTGTGCAATATTATAACATGTTCATCATTGTAGTGAAATGTTATTTGAAATAACTTCCCTTTTAACGCAACGGATTCCGCATTTGAACTTAAAAAATGATATTTTATTATTCATGTGGACAAACCGCAATGATTGTATTATGTACCTTACATTGCCACAAATTTAGAATGACTGGTTGTACTTTAAATCAAAATTTAAAAAGGATACCTGATATTTTTCAATAGAAAACTGACAGACCATGCAAATGAAATTTGAACTAAAGTTTGAAGTCTGGTATTTAACATTTACCTAATTTAGAATTGTAAAAATGTATTTTAACAACTCGAATTAAGGTATTGAATTTAATCTTTAAAATCGTCCAGATCTTCAAGTTTGTGTTTTTATTATTATATTTAAGGAAACTTTTGAAAGAAAGCAATTTTCATTATTTATAATCCCACAAAAGAGTAATGACCACACATGTTGGAAACAGATCATGTTCTTGTTTGTGTAAAATAAATGAATTTCTCTTGAAAAAGTGTTTAGAACTACCCCTACAGGCACCCGGTGTTGTACAGACTTGGATATTTGATTGAAAATAAATCGCAACGTCGGCGACCTAAATGCAACGTCGTGCGGTTTAGAGACAATTTGAAAGTCTGGTTCCTGGTATTTCTATTCCGTTGTCACGATGCATAGTTTTACAGAAGGAACCAACATTAAATTTCGTTTGAAAACTAGGCGCGAACTAGAAGATCATCATCAAGTTAAATTTAACCAGCTAAAAATGAATAAAAGGTTAGTACACTTATCGTATAGTTTCATTTTGAATTGCAGTTGATCGTTTCCCTAAAATCACTTGAAAAAGAAATTGTTGAAATACCCACGGGATAATTTCAACGGATTTAACAAAATACTGCAAATTATCCACATAGAAGTAGAAGATGAAGATAATTATGGCATGGTATTGGTTGCAAAAATTTGATATTTTTCATTTAAATGCAATATTTCTTATTTAATTGGTATATTTCTTCATTTAAATGCAATATTTTTTTATTTGAATGGTATATTTTTTCATTTAAATGCAATATTTTTTTATTCAGATGGTATAATTTTTCATTCAAATGGTATAATTTTTCATTCAAATGGTATAATTTTCGTTCAAATGCAATATTTTTTATTCAATTGGTATAAAATGTCATTTGAATGCAATATATTTTATTCAATTAGTATAGTAGTTTTTTATTTATATGCAATAATTGCATTATGGGAAATTCTTTGACGTCATAAGGTCAAATTTGCAACAACGTTTGTGATTGGTCGGTAATTGTTTGGATTTCTCCCCTTTCTTTCTAAACTTATGTGACCAAGAATTAAAAAACGCGTCAGAATTTCGCCCCTCTAACTAAATTCGGCGTTCGTGCGAGTTCGTGCACTGGCTGCTAATGCCAATAATGGCCAGGACGAGCAAAAAATGCGAGTGACAAGTAGTAATAATTAATTTGACACACAACTTGTTCATGGATAGAAACAGATGCCTGCGTGCATGGGAAAAACACCTCCAATGAAAACCTTTTCTGAAAAAAAAATACATAGCTAGCCCCCCTCCCCCTTCTAAGTCCAGATACATGTAATCATGACGTTCTTTAGTGCTAAATCATTTTTTTACTTTTCTTGATCCTCAGAGACGTTGCAGGAAGGCACACATGAAAAAAGAATAAAAAGCATCCAGGACGTTACAATTATTTGGACTAAGCCCCCTCTTTTTTACTACATGTAGAAAAAAATCATCTAATTACGACAGCAGAACCAGAAACCCACAAGTAGAGACATAAGCTGTTATACTCCGGAACTAATTCTTTAATAAAGACAATTCAGGATAAATTGGAACCAGTTACTTACCCATGTTACAACAATAGTCATATGACATAGAACTTCACTATATGAGGCGTGAACTTCATATTTAATACTATCTATAATATGTGCTCTCATGTCTTATGCTGCAAATCATTTTACATTTAGGATTCGTTGATGAGCTTTTTTTTACTGTTCTCGTCTCCGAATCCATTAAATAGATTTTTTTTCAAGCCCACAGTAGTTCAATAATTACTATATGTCTTTGCATATATAAGTATGCAGGGCATATTTCAAAAACATATTTTATCTTCAGGACTTTTAAATGATATACTTTTCAATACTGCATTGGGAAGGGGGGTATACAAGTTTATTTTGTGACACATTATATAATATAATTAGGGACGACATCAAAAGTTTAATGTAGGATAAAAAACTTAATTCACTGACCCCACCCCCCTCTTAATTTAATTTGGGAAAAATTGATTGACCAATATGAATATATGTAAAATCGATTTTGGATAAACAAAACTTGCAGCAATGTGTGTGAGGGTAGGGGTTTCAGATCAAAGATCGTTTCTATAATTCTATATCTTTTAGTTTTTACCATTTCACTCTATTCTTTATCCTTTGATCTCTATTATATTTGACCTAAACATGCGTGACATATTTGCCACTGGACATAAGGCAACCAAAAGTCAATCAACGTATTCTGTATATTTCATCAATTCTTTATTATGTTATCTATAGGTTTGGTCCCGCCCCTTATCTATTTTTTTGCACATTAGGGACGACATCAAAAGTTCAATGTAGGATAAAAAAAACTTAATTCATATAGTTTTTTTTCACTGACCCCCTACCCCCCCCCCCAACCCCCTCTCTCAGCTTATTTTGGGAAAAATTTATTGACCAATAAGGATATATATAAAATCGATGTTAATTAAACAAAACTTGCAGCAATTTTGACACCCTCCCCCCCCCAAAAAAAAAACTATTTGAATTAAGTTTTTTATCCTTCATTGATTTTCTGATGTCGTCCCTTATCCTCTCTATGTAAACCCAATTCATGTCCTGATAAATGGTGACTCATGCATAGCATCCTATGTGGTTATTAAAACAAGAAAAATATTCATATTATAATAATTAATGTATGCTAGGACTTATAGATAGATGTCATTAGTTCTAGGTCATGTAAGAAAGTAGGTCTTATAAAAATACAATAGCATTTTAATTTTGATGATTATATATTTAATAATGCCATTTTTTTGGAAAAAAGGTTAGGGGCAAGGCGTTTTTAAAACATATCAATGGGGCTCGTTTTTTTTTTTTTTTGTTCTTCGGAAGTGAGCCAGAAGAAGTCCATTTC